GTCCCCAGCATTGACGATGCAGTGTACTGATGCCTGGTTATATTTGACCTTGGCAGTATTTGCATTAACTAGCAGATAAGAGATGTGAGAATTTAGCCATACAGATAATTTTATTGGGAGGGTATTCAAAGTTTTTTGCGACAGTACAGCACACATGATCTAAAAGTGAGAAAAATGTGTAGTAACCCATCACCATAATTGAGTGTGTGCTGTGTGCCAGTCTGACCTTCTTAGCATTTTCCCAGCAGTGAAGATCAGCAGGGATATCTGTCCATTATGTCAGACCTGGTATGTTATCAAATCTATTGCTACTCTGAGATATTGCACTTGTCGTGTTGATTAAGTAATTGGTTTATTTTTAAGATGTAAATGTGACCTTAAGTTGCAAAAAAAGATTTTATCATTCTTTGCCTGGAATTCAATTTTAAGGAGATATGATAAGGGAACAAAAAACGAAAAAAAACAGCAACAAGATACTAGTAATACTAAAGTGTCAACAAACCCACAATTCCAACTCAAAATTGATGAAGCTATGACAAAATAACGTGATGAAAAGAAACTTATCGCCACAAGTACAAGGAGAATAAGACCAGGTTATCTTGAACAGTATAAGCTTCTACTGCTTTATCGAAAGCACCTGCCATGCAAATCTAGGTCAGATCCAATGTCATGTTCTCAAAAGTAGAACCAGGGTAGTTAAAACAAAACGACAAGGCACTCGAATAAGCATAATCAAAAATATTAACTATTATGTATATATATCGCACATGAGAATTTGCTTTTCAAATAACAGCTTTGGGATATTATTGATATTTTCATGTGGGGATTTAAGTGCTGTATAAGTGCCAAAAACATACTGACATATCCTAGACTGAAATTTGATATCCACAAATAAATGACTCTCTGTAGATCTTAATATAGAAATAAGAATAGAAATAGGATATTGGAAAATGTTGTGTTGCTATTGTGGTATACAGTCTGCCTGCAGATATGTAAGTAGTCAATCATGTTGAAATATGTTTGGTATTGTGTTCCTGAAGATGTATCAAAACTGACAACAATGCTGTTTTTATGGTCTAAAATTCACTTCAACAAGCATGATTTGTTGCATTGACTCCCGTTTCCTTCTGCTGATAGCTGTGATCTCTATAACATCCTTCCCATCCATTATTGATGATGTCTGTGTGCAGTGAGACAATTTCCATCCCCTTCTGAGAATTTCTTTGTTCCCTATAATAGTTTTAAGTCTGTACTTAGACAATGTTGGTGTTCCCTAGATCAGTTTTAAGTCTGTACTTAGACAATGTTGGTGTTCCCTAGATTAGTTTTAAGTCCCTACTTAGACAATGTTTGTGTTCCCAAGATCAGTTTTAAGTCTGTATTTAGACAATGTTTGTGTTCCCTAGATTAGTTTTAAGTCCCCTACTTAGACAATGTTTGTGTTCCCAAGATCAGGTTTAAGTCTGTACTTAGACAATGTTGGCGTTCGCTATATCAGTTTTAAGTCTGTACTTAGACATTGTTGGTGTTCCCTATATCAGTTCTAAGTCTGTACTTAGACAATGTTGGCGTTCGCTATATCAGTTTTAAGTCTGTACTTAGACACTGTTGGTGTTCCCTATATCAGTTTTAAGTCTTTAATTAGACAATGTTGGTGTTCCCTATACCAGTTTTAAGTCTGTACTTAGACAATGTTTGAGTTCCCAAGATCAGTTTTAAGTCTGTACTTAGACATTGTTGGTGTTCCCTATATCAGTTCTAAGTCTGTACTTAGACAATGTTGGTGGTCCCTAGATCAGTTTTAGGTCTGTACTTAGACAATGTTGGTGTTACATATATCAGTTTTAAGTCTGTACTTAGACATTGTTGGTGTTCCCTATATCAGTTCTAAGTCTGTACTTAGACAATGTTGGCGTTCGCTATATCAGTTTTAAGTCTGTACTTAGACATTGTTGGTGTTCCCTATATCAGTTCTAAGTCTGTACTTAGACAATGTTGGTGTGCCCTAGATCAGTTTTAAGTCTGTATTTAGACAATGTTTGTGTTCCCTAGATTAGTTTTAAGTCTGTACTTAGACAATGTTGGCGTTCGCTATATCAGTTTTAAGTCTGTACTTAGACAATGTTTGTGTTCCCTAGATCAGTTTTAAGTCTGTACTTAGTCAATGTTGGTGTTCCCTATATCAGTTTTAAGTCTGTAATTAGACAATGTTGGTGTTCCCTATATCAGTTCTAAGTCTGTACTTAGACAATGTTGGCGTTCGCTATATCAGTTTTAAGTCTGTACTTAGACAATGTTTGTGTTCCCAAGATCAGGTTTAAGTCTGTACTTAGACAATGTTGTTGTTCCCTAGATCAGTTTTAAGTCTGTATTTAGACAATGTTTGTGTTCCCTAGATTAGTTTTAAGTCCCCTACTTAGACAATGTTTGTGTTCCCAAGATCAGTTTTAAGTCTGTACTTAGACAATGTTGGTGTTCCCTATATCAGTTCTAAGTCTGTACTTAGACAATGTTGGTGTTACATATATCAGTTTTAAGTCTGTACTTAGACAATGTTGGTGTTCCCTAGATCAGTTTTAAGTCTGTACTTAGACAATGTTGGTGTTCCCTAGATCAGTTTTAAGTCTGTACTTAGACAATGTTGGTGTTCCCTAGATCAGTTTTAAGTCTGTACTTAGACAATGTTGGTGTTCCCTAGATCAGTTTTAAGTCTGTACTTAGACAATGTTGGTGTTCCCTAGATCAGTTTTAAGTCTGTACTTAGACAATGTTGGTGTTCCCTAGATCAGTTTTAAGTCTGTACTTAGACAATGTTGGTGTTCCCTAGATCAGTTTTAAGTCTGTACTTAGACAATGTTGGTGTTCCCTAGATCAGTTTTAAGTCTGTACTTAGACAATGTTGGTGTTCCCTAGATCAGTTTTAAGTCTGTACTTAGACAATGTTGGTGTTCCCTAGATCAGTTTTAAGTCTGTACTTAGACAATGTTGGTGTTCCCTAGATCAGTTTTAAGTCTGTACTTAGACAATGTTGGTGTTCCCTAGATCAGTTTTAAGTCTGTACTTAGACAATGTTGGTGTTCCCTAGATCAGTTTTAAGTCTGTACTTAGACAATGTTGGTGTTCCCTAGATCAGTTTTAAGTCTGTACTTAGACAATGTTGGTGTTCCCTAGATCAGTTTTAAGTCTGTACTTAGACAATGTTGGTGTTCCCTAGATCAGTTTTAAGTCTGTACTTAGACAATGTTGGTGTTCCCTAGATCAGTTTTAAGTCTGTACTTAGACAATGTTGGTGTTCCCTAGATCAGTTTTAAGTCTGTACTTAGACAATGTTGGTGTTCCCTAGATCAGTTTTAAGTCTGTACTTAGACAATGTTGGTGTTCCCTAGATCAGTTTTAAGTCTGTACTTAGACAATGTTGGTGTTCCCTAGATCAGTTTTAAGTCTGTACTTAGACAATGTTGGTGTTCCCTAGATCAGTTTTAAGTCTGTACTTAGACAATGTTGGTGTTCCCTAGATCAGTTTTAAGTCTGTACTTAGACAATGTTGGTGTTCCCTAGATCAGTTTTAAGTCTGTACTTAGACAATGTTGGTGTTCCCTAGATCAGTTTTAAGTCTGTACTTAGACAATGTTGGTGTTCCCTAGATCAGTTTTAAGTCTGTACTTAGACAATGTTGGTGTTCCCTAGATCAGTTTTAAGTCTGTACTTAGACAATGTTGGTGTTCCCTAGATCAGTTTTAAGTCTGTACTTAGACAATGTTGGTGTTCCCTAGATCAGTTTTAAGTCTGTACTTAGACAATGTTGGTGTTCCCTAGATCAGTTTTAAGTCTGTACTTAGACAATGTTTGTGTTCCCTAGATCAGTTTTAAGTAACTGCTGACATGCTCAGCATTACCTAGAACAGTACTCTTTCTGTACCACAACCAAAATCTGAAAACAATTGGTAAACATGATGAAAAATGTGTACTCTGCACCTATAAAAATATTTCTTGTCAACTGATGGGTGCTGATGTTAGCAACACTTAATTGTATTACACAACTGTCTTGTGCTGTAACTAACTAAACATAAGACAAGTAACAACAAAGTCTCTTGTCGTGTGTACACGGCAACGGGGACCAGGAAGCACATATTGTTGTCGTGTGTACACGACAAGCTTAGGGTACAGAAAAAGTTTAGTCACCATTGACAATGTCTGTGTTCCCTAGAACAGTTTTATTTAAGTAACCGCTGACATTGTCCACATTACCTAGAACAGTTTTAGGTCCCACTGACGATGTCTGTGTTCTCTAAAAGGGTCTTCATTCGTACTGTGTTTAATTGAAAGGTTTCCGGTTTCTTCTGACAAGTCTAGTTAATATAGAAGACTTTGGTGTGTAAAACAGTTGTTTTTGGTCAACACTCTTAATTTAAAAAACAACAGATTTGATTGCATCATTAGCATAATTTACCATAGTTCTTTCCATTAGTGAAATCTTTTTTGTTGCGTATAGCAATTAATTGCGACCAGAACCGTGCATGACTTGCATGCAGACTGCGTGTAATAGAATGTGGTAAGTTTTTATAGTCTCCTATAACGCTGATGTGTTGGTTACTTGTTTTGTCCCCGCCTTTATATGTGAGAAATATTGTGTTACCCATGTCTGCCACGTCCAGTCGTGATAATTTGTCCAGTCGTGATTAATTATCGTGAATTACAGACTTCAATTCTTAAAAGATTTTCATCAAAAAGGTCAAGTATCAAAATACCACAGATGAGTTTGTATTTCAGGATCTGAAGGTCAACGTCTAGGTCACTAATGCTATTTATTAGTCAACAAGATTAAAATCACTGTTAATATTTGTAAAAGGATGAAATATATTTTACAGGGGGCAGTAATGTCTTAAAGACTACTCTGACAACACGTTTGATATGTACATTGTTTGTGTAGAAAGTAAAACTTTGATACGTCTTAAAGCCGTTTTGTAGTTCTCATGAATAGGATTATCTTTTCGTTGCAGGATGAAAGAAACCTTGGCCGCAGTATGAGGGCAGCTCCACGACACGTGCGACCAGCAAAAGGAGGGTCAAGGCCATCCTCAGCCTCGAAGGACAAGGTAAGTTTCATATAACAACATGACTGTCCAATCTCCACAACTACTGTAGCATTGTAGCTCTCCCTCTGAATAATAAACTGATTTTTGACATATCTCTTTGACATTCAGACAGACTTATATTAAACACATCGACTTGATTCTAACCTTAATAACTGAATACTCTCCGGGTTTGGCAGATAATATCGTTTATGCAGATTTTTCTTCACATTCCCATACCTGGTCTAACCCAACCTGGGTGTAAATCCATTTCTAATGAGCACTACCTAATTAGGCCTCGTTAATCTGACATCCTTTGAAATTATATCAAAATTTCATGTCACCCAGGGTGTCGGATTAGATAGGTAACATAATTATGCATACCTAACATCATCAAACCTGGTATGTTGACTGAATCGGTGTTCTGAGTGGTCAGGATTGTAAATCACAGGGTCTCCTTTAACTTTACAACAGTATTGTAATGGTCTATTACTTTCATGCATGGAGATATAATTTTTGTGGTATTTTAATGGTACCTCCATTTTTTTTAAATGCACACGTTTTCACGAAAGAAGTTACATTTTGAAAATCCGCTAACACCGTTTTAGTTAGACCATATAAATTTGGACCCAATACATGTACTGGATCAGAAACAAAGGGCGCCAGCACTGAGTCATCAAACATATACATTTCTGACGTAGACTTCTTTCGTAAAACTTCTCATAAGGTGTGACATTTTCTTGCCAACTGTTTTGATGATGTAATTCAATAAATGTTTCAGCTGAAGTGCATTCTATGTGATACTGTATCTGTCAAGAACGTAGTACGCGCATACATAACACCCTCTTATAATATACTGAGCAAGCAGGATTTGTTGGGATCTGAAATAATTGGATCAGCGACACATTACGTCCTGTAAGACCAATTGCTATAAAGATATTAACATCAGACATAAAAGGAAGTGAATCCCAGGTGTTTATAGACTCGGAAAAGACCATCCAGTCAATTTTTAGTAGATCTTAGGTGTAACTGATAAAACATAGATGTACTTCTGTCTATATAGCTGTAGTGTTTTGTAGCTCTGTGGTGTCAAAAAGAGGAGAATGCTCCTGTCTGCACAGCTGTAGTGTTATGTAGCTCTGGCATGGACGGAGGAGAGAGAAATGCTCCAGTCTGCACATGCAGCTGTCGTGTTTTGTAAATCTGTGGTGTCAAAAAGAGGAGAATGCTCCTGTCTGCACAGCTGTAGTGTTATGTAGTTCTTTGGTGTTGGACTGAGGAGAGAGAAATGCTCCAGTCTACACAGCTGTAGTGTTATGTAGTTCTGTGGTGTGACAGAGGAAAGAGAAATGCTCCTGTCTATATAGCTGTAGTGTTATGTAGCACTGGTATTGGAAACAGCTGTAGTGTTATGTAGTTCTGTGGTATTGGACTGAGGAGAGAGAAATGCTCCAGTCTACATAGCTGTATCATTATGTAGCTCTGTGGTGTGACAGAGGAAAGAGAAATGCTCCAGTCTACACAGCTGTAATGTTATGTAGGAACTGTTGTACAGTATGAGACTAAGAAATATGTTACTTCATAAACCATTACACACAAATCTTCATAAATATTCACGAATGATGCCTCCAAGTCCCACTGTCAGACTTTCAGGGATCGTACATTATTCCCAACTGTACAATCCCAATAACGATTACTGATACGACATTGGCATCAGGCAAAACCACAGACATTACGATTCAATAATACATTATACGTCATATTAAAGATTATTGTGAATGTAGCCGTTTCACATTGTTGTCTGTCCATAGCTAATCTGTATCCAACACGGAAGATGTCACAATATATTTATAATTACATGATTCCGTGACAACTTCCTGTTTGTAATGTGCGTATCAGCCTCTAATCTGTCTTTGAGGACGATAGAAAAAGGCCAATACATCCTAATATGCTATTAGTTATGCGAATGAATATGGATGGAGAGTTTCAGTGTTGTATATAAAAGCGGTTTGGCAGCCTCGTAGCAAATTCTACGTAATTTTCCCGTCTATCCTACTCTCTCTTTTCCCCGTTGTTGATCTCTGATAATAGTGAGCAGAGAAAATGGTTCAGACATTCTGTTGATATATAGCCAAAACCATCTATAACAGAAACCTGTTTATTACTAAAACCTGTCTATAACAGAAACCTGTTTATTACTAAAACCTGTCTATAACAGAAACCTGTTTATTACTAAAACATGTCTATAACAGAAACCTGTCTATAACAGAAACCTGTTTATTACTAAAACCTGTCTATAACAGAAACCTGTTTATTACTAAAACCTGTCTATAACAGAAACATGTTTATTACTAAAACCTGTCTATAACATAAACCTGTTTATTACTAAAACCTGTCTATACAATAACCCGGTTTATTACTAAAACCTGTCTATAACAACAAATACCTGTATAAAGCAGTCAAATTTATTTAACAAAGATTATTCTATGTATAGTCCTTATAATACCCAATACAGTAAAACCTTTACTATAAGGCCATCCTCTGGATAGTCCTAAAAGAGGTCTCTTAATGCAGGTTCCTGTTTCCATGAAATCACTACGGTGGGAAACGTTAAAAGTAGTCTATTAGCACAGGTGGTCTTTTAATAGAGGTAGTAGTAGCGAGCAAAATTGTATGTGGTCTCTTAGAACAGGTGGTCTCTTAATAGAAGTGGTTGCATGAGAAGGTTTGATTGTATAAGAATCAAATCTTTGTAACTGATATTTGTCTACAATGTCACCTATGTAACCATTACCTGTCTACAATTTCACCTATGTAACCATTCCCTGTCTACAATGTCCCCTATATAAACCATTACCTGTCTAAAATGTCACCTATGTAACCATTATCTGTCTACAATGTCACCTATGTAGCCGTTACCAGTCTACAATGTCACCTATGTAACCATTACCTGTCTACAATGTCACCTATGTAACATTTACCTGTCTACAATGTCACCTATGTAACTATTACCTGGCTACAATGTCACCTATGTAACCCATTACCTGTCTACAATGTCGCCTATGTAAACCATTACCTGTCTACAATGACACCTATGTAACCATTATCTGTCTACAATGTCACATATGTAGCCGTTACCAGTCTACATAGGTGACATTGTAGACCGGTAATGGTTACATAGGTGACATTATAGACAGGTAATGGTTACATAGGCGACATTGCAGACAGGTAATGGGTACATAGGTGACATTGTAGACCGGTAATGGTTACATAGGTGACGTTGGAGATAGGAAATGATTACATAGGTGACATTGTAGATGGCTAACGGTTACATAGGTGACATTGTAGATTGCTAATGGTTACATAAGTGACATTGTAGAGAGGTAATGGTTAAATAGGTAACATTGTAGACAGATAATGGTTACATAGGAGACATTGTAGACAGATAATGGTTACATATGTGACATTGTAGACAGATAATGGTTACATATGTGACATTGTAGATGGCTAATAGTTACATATGTGACATTGTAGACAGATAATGGTTACATATGTGACATTGTAGACAGATAACGGTTACATAGGTGACATTGTAGTCAGGTAATGGTTTATATAGGTGACATTGTAGACTGGTAAAGGTTACATAGGTGACATTGTAGTCAGGTAATGGTTTATATAGGTGACATTGTAGACAGACAATGGTTACATAGGTGACATTGTAGATTGCTAATGGTTACATAAGTGACATTGTAGACAGGTAATTGTTTATATAGGTGACATTGTAGACTGGTAAAGGCTACATAGGTGACATTGTACACAGATAATGGTTACATAGGTGACATTGTAGGCAGGTAATGATTACATAGGTGACATCGTAGACAGGTAATGGTTACATAGGTAACCATTACCTGTCTACAATATCACCTATGTAACCATTACCTGACTACAATGTCACTTATGTAACCATTAACTATCTACAATGTCACCTATGTAATCATTACCTGTCTACTACCTGTCTACAATGTCACCTATTTAAACCATTACCTGTCTACAATGACACCTATGTAACCATTATCTGTCTACAATGTTACCTATGTAACCATTACCTGTCTATAATGTCACCTATGTAAACCATTACCTGTCCACAATGTCAACTATGTAACCATTACCTGTCTACGATGTCACCTATGTAATCATTAACTGTCTACAATGTCACCTATGGAACCATTACCTGTCTACAATGACACCTATGTAACCATTATCTGTCTATAATGTAACCTATGTAAACCATTACCTGTCTACATTGTCACCTATGTAACCATTACCGGTCTACAATGTCACCTATGTAGCCATTACCTGTCTACAATGTCTCCTATGTAAACCATTACCTGTCCACAATGTCAACTATGTAACCATTACCTGTCTACGATGTCACCTATGTAATCATTAACTGTCTACAATGTCAACTATGTAACCATTACCTGTCTACGATGTCACCTATGTAATCATTAACTGTCTACAATGTCACCTATGTGACATTTACCTGTCTACAATGTCACATATGTAACTATTACCTGTCTACAATGTCCCCTATGTAACCATTATCTGTCTACAATGTCACCTATGTAAACCATTACCTGTCTACAATGTCAACTATGTAACCATTACCTGTCTACAATGTCACCTATATAAACCATTCCCTGTCTACAATGTCACCTATATAACCCATTACCTGTCTACAATGTCAACTATGTAACCATTCCCTGTCTACAATGTCACCTATGTAACAATTACCTGTCTACAATGTCACCTATATGAACCATTACCTGTCTACAATGTCACCTATATTACCTGTCTACAATGTCACCTATGTGACTATTACCTGTCTACAATGTCACATATTTAACCATTACCTGTCTACAATGTCACATATGAAACCATTACCTGTCGACAATGTCACCTATGTAACCATTACCTGTCTACAATATCACCTATGTAACCATTACCTGTCTACAATGTTACCT